TGGCAAAAGCCAGAGTGGGGCTTCAAATAACAAAAAATTATGTCCTGAAAACGACGTTGGGAAAGTAACACTTATGGAGGCTTCAAAATAACCAAAGATTACATCCCACAAGAGAGTGTGGTGGGATGACTGAATTTATAATGCATTGTTTGTGTACGTTCACATATTAATGTTCTATAATATGTAAAGTTGCCTCAGGTTAGGGTTACAATTTGGCTTAGGGTTAGGTTCAGCCCTGATTATAACCCTAACCCTAACCTCAAACAATAATAAAATATTAAAGAATGTTATTGTACAAACTTTTACAGACAGTGGATTGCGTCCCCTAGGGTAGGCATTTAAATCATTATAAATTTACAACGGATTACGTCCCCTAGGGTTAAAGTTTGAAGTTCTGACGACCTACTTCTCCAACTTAGTCGGTACCGAACAGCTAGCTATCCATGCATACATTAAATAATCCACCGGTCACTTGTTTTAATCAAATGTTTTCGTTTTAACCCCCTTCCCCCACCCCTATAGCTGTACATTCTTCTTCTGACGTTTATCCCCACATGGACCACAGACCCTAAACCAGCTCACGCTGAGTCCTTCCACCCTTTGCGATCACATACAGTTTATCCCATTTCCTCTAAAGCTAACACTATCTAAAATGCATATTTTACAAACAAATGAAAATAGATACACATTCAGCAGTGTGAATATTAACTGGTTACTTTTTTGTTTCAATGTTCTTGGTAACATAATCTACGAAACCACAGCGCTTACTTGCTCTAGAAATTTTAAATATCGCTACAAATGTATGATCTTATATATATATACGTAAATGTCATCCCCATGTGGGATGCAATTTTTTTAAAACCCACCCTGGCTTCTGCCAGGGGCCCTGAATATAGCCGGGGCATAGATATGGCCTAGCGGTTGAAAGGGTTTTCTGGGCCCTCTCCACGGGTGATCCTCATCTGTATGGTGGCAATTTGTATCACCGGGTGTTTATCGTTTGTGTGATGTCCTGGTAGGGTACAACTACCTCATCATCGTGTAGCAGGTCCTTTGCAGAACGCCGCTCTCATCACAGTCTGCCTGAAAGAAACTCGATTTCTCGCCAGTTCTCCCGCCTCATGAACTTTTACACTCAAGGAGTCACTTATATCCTGTGCCCATCTTCGTGTCGGTCGGCCTCTGCATCTCCTTCCTGGTACCATGCCTTCTGCTATAATTTTTTCCCAATCCGTCGTGGCGCTTTATATAACCAAAATATTTCAGCTTTCTTTAAAGGATGCTGTTTATTAGCCAATCTTCCTCGATGTTCATATCTTTTGAGATGTCAATATTTATCATCTTCTTTGTCCAAGATATTCTGAGAATCTTTCTATAGCATTTCAGCTCAAAAGCCCCTATTCTTTTTCTTAAGTACTGAGAGATAGTCCACGACTCACATCCGTATGTAGCCACAGTGAAGATGCATGCTCTCAAAATTCTAATTTTTATCTCCTTGCTGGTGCTTAACCACAGACTTTTAGGGCTGTTCAATCTTTGCATTGCTATGGTCATCCTCCTTTTAATTTCTGTCGAACAGTCTCCATTGTTGTTTATTATTATTCTCATATTAAAGATGTGATCCCTAGTTCCTCTACTCTGTCTGAAACCCGCTTGTGTTTCATCTAGCTCATATTGTAATTTCCTTTCAATCCTTTTCAAGTACAACTACCTACCTGCCTATATTCTTATATAGGGAACCTTACAGTTCATTATTTTGTAAAGCACAGCTATCTGTCGACAATTTCAGTGGAATCTGTTATGAAAACTTCCAAATTCGACAGTTCACATTAATATCATCATCATCATTACCATCATCAGCATCATGTTCATCGTCAGGTATCTGCTGACATCCGTGTTACATGACCAAACCATTTCACCTATTGTTTTTTATTGAAATCCGGAGCTGCTAGTATTCCCATTTGCCTTCAGATTTCATCGTTTCTCTTATTTTCATATTGAGTGCCCTTCGTAGGAATCTTATTTCAGTTGTAATATGTCCTTTCTCCTTTCTGTCATAGTCCAGGGCTGGCATTGATAACACAGGGTTGGCAAGAAGACTGTCATGAAGTGTTTGCTTTCTTGGTTTCTGTTGATACATGTTTGTTTCTTAGTATTGGTGCCATGTGCCTGATGAGCTGGTTACTTTGTTACATCTGTCATTAATATCCTCTTCCGTTTTGCCAGCCTTTTGGCCAGGCTATTGAATGCACACTATTTTCCATACTATTATACCATACACAATGACACATACTCTCACTAGCGTGTCGAGACGAAACATTCTCTGAACTTCTTCATTCTTCTTCTTCGCGTTCATCAGCTGTAAACTCTGGCGGAAAGTTCTGGTTCTTCATCCACTTCTGGACTGCAGTCGTGTTCCAGAACCTAAGTGGCGCGTGTGCATCCGTTTTATAGATCTGACTCATTTGTGTGCAGACTGCAGATTCCTCGCCCCTTAGGCAGATGCAATTCGACTTTGAAGGAAGCTCCAAATTAGTCGACTCTTACCACATGTTTTTGGGTAGGCAGTGGATCTGTTCTTGTTTTCCCCACAATAGGGCCCCAGAACCCACACAGGGAACTTCTAAATTAACAGTTTAACATGTGCTCTGCTACGACCGCAGCTTGGCATGGCTTCGTGCAGATAGAATCCAGATAGAGGTTTCGTTTCTCGCTGGCTTTTAAAAATGTAGCTCGCCCCCCAGAGGGCACTGACACTAAGAAAATGTTGGGGAATATGTATTAGGGGTGGGGATGGGAGTTGGGGCTTTACAAGGGGAGGGGAGATGAGTAGCGTAGATCCCTTTTTAATTCGAGGGCCAAATTGCTGAATTTGGCGCTTAACACCCAGACACATTTTCGGGGGGGGGGGGGGGGCGTCATTGCCTAAGGTGACAAAGCTGGCCAGATCTCGGCGGCCCTGCTTACGCGGCCAAAACTGTAATGTCTAATCAATTATTAGGATTTAAAAAAAACACATTAAAGTTGTCAGCTTGTACCTGGCAGGTGTTAGGATAAATATTTTAGGCATTTTTTAGAATTTGTTTGTTGAAGAAAATAAACGTTTTAAGTCTGACCAGATTATAAATTACAAAAAGCGAAAAAAGGAATTAAAAAAATTAGTACAGTATAGTACAGCATAGGACAGTGTCGCAAGGAATTTTATATATACAAGTATATATATATATATATATATATATATATATATATATATATATATATATATATATATAATTCCTTGCGACACTGACCTATTTATATATATATATAATTCCTTGCGACACTGACCTATATATATATATATATATATATATATATATATATATATATATATATATATATATATATATATATATATATATAATTCCTTGCGACACTGACCTATATATACATATATATAATTCCTTGCGACACTGACCTATATATATATATATATATATATATATATAATTCCTTGCGACACTGAACTATATATATATATATATAATTCCTTGCGACACTGACCTATATATATATATATATATATATATATATATATATAATTACTTGCGACACTGACCTATATATATATATATATAATTCCTTGTGACACTGACCTATATATATATATATATAAAATTCCTTGCGACACTGACCTATATGTGTATATATAATTCCTTGCGACACTGACCTATATATATATATATATATAATTCCTTGCGACACTGACCTATATATATATATATATATATATATATATATATATATAATTCCTTGCGACACTGACCTATATATATATATATATATAATTCCTTGCGACACTGACCTATATGTGTATATAAAATTCCTTGCGACACTGACCTATATATATATATAAATAAAATTCCTTGCGACCCTGACCTATATGTATATATATATATAAAATTCCTTGCGACACTGACCTATATGTGTATATAAAATTTCTTGCGACACTGACCTATATATATATATATATATATAAAATTCCTTGCGACACTGACCTATATATATATATATAAAATTCCTTGCGACACTGACCTATATATGTAAAATTCCTTGCGACACTGACCTATATATATATATATATATAAAATTCCTTGCGACACTGACCTATATATATATATATAAAATTCCTTGCGACACTGACCTATATATATATATATAATTCCTTGCGACACTGACCTATATGTGTATATAAAATTCCTTGCGACACTGACCTATATATATATATAAATAAAATTCCTTGCGACACTGACCAATATATATATATATATATATATATATATATATATATATATATATATATATATATATATATATAATTCTTGCGAAACTGTCCTATATATATATATATATATATATATATATATATATATATATATATATAGTTAGTTGCAACACATGAAGAGACAAGTAACTAATACCAGCATTAGAGAGAAAGCTGGAAGGACAGCAGGCCTGGATTATGTTGACAGGGAAAGAATGAAATGGTTCAGCCATATAGCGAGAATGCTGCCAGACCAAACTGCACGTGATACTCTTTACAGGAGAACATTTGGGAGAATTCGAGAGCAAGACCAAGAAATATATGGTTCAATGGAGTAGCTGAAATTGCAAAAAGGTGAACAAATTATTCACTCATGCCACCTAAGAAGCGCTAGACAAATACAGAGAAATCACGACACTGGGCTACAACCTGGTCTCAATGAGAAAAAAAAAACATATGTTAAACCAACAAACATGTGACGAGTTGTTTGGTAATTAATAGTTACTTAATTATCAAAATTTATATTAAAACTTAGCCCTGTTAGAAATGTATGGCTGTAAGTATTGCTTTCATGAACACAACGCTTTTGTTCATGCTGGTTTTTGTTTTCTCATTGTCACATGCTTAATTAATGTGTTCTTCAAATTTCCCAAGTGACTTCTCTCATAAAAGTATTTTAAAAGCACAAGTAAGTATATTACAATGCTGTGCTTTCGTCATAATCCACGAGGGCAGAGTTCACTTGACCACCTGTCTGCTGGTCTTTACTGAAAGAATAAAGAACGACTGTCGTCTCCGCCGTCATCGCGTCCCGATGATGATCTGCATGATTATTCATGACTTTGACTTCAGGACTTTCATAAGGACCAACATCTTTGCCGTCAGGCACTGTTCCGTTTTGGTTACCTGAACAAAAGACCACATTATATATAACGATCATTGTTTCATTGTCGTAACATTGTCGTATCATTGTCGTATCATTGTCGTATCATTGTCGTATCATTGTCGTATCATTGTCGTAACATTGTCGTATCATTGTCGTATCATTGTCGTAACATTGTCATATCATTGCTACAGGGCTTGACAGAAGAGGAAGAGAAGAAGAGACAGACCAAGAAAAGATCCTAATATATAATTTGTCTGTGTTGATAGACAGGTCTCAAACAAGCAAACACCGTTTCCATTGTATTTGACCGACAGATGTGTAGGAAACTGATCAGACAATCAACAGAAACTGGTGATTCAACGACCGGATGTGTTAAGGGACTATTTCTTCTTATTCCTCTTTGATCCTTCTGTAAGAAAATGTATACCAGGAGGTGAGTAGCCTTGATGAAAGCTATTGTGCAGTCCATATCTCCTCGTTTACCACTCAGCTGTGTATTCATTCAGGATGGAACAAGCCAGATTGCTTCTCTCTTGGCAGTTACAGTGTTAGACTACATGCTCAGCATTTTCTGGTGCCAAGTTGCAGGGACACTTCTCTGTTTTTCCTACACCTAAAATGTTGAATATATGTTGGCGAAGTTGTGCCCTGTTTTTAGTCTGAATATGAAATATTGTCTCTCTCCAGAAAGAAGATCTATCAAGCCACCTTTTTTGAATGTTAGTTTTTAATTATCTTAGTCTCTTGGTGAGTTAAGTCACAATTCGACAGCATCATGTCACTGCCGCTCTTTTAGTTGATAATTACGACAATGATCATGAAGAGGACAATGGTGATAATGATGCCCCCCCCCCCCTTCCCCCCAAAAAAACAGCGCTCTGAGGTTGTCTCCTTAGTTCTCATATGCTTGACTAGGTAATTGCTGTAAGGATAAAAGATAGTCACGCAGTGAAGTGTTGGAACCCAGCACATTCTAGACAACGACATATGAACTAGGATGTCCAGTTCTCTTTCTCATAGCTTTCATTCACACATCGATCGGACGGTTCGCTACGTAAAGGTTTACCAAACGGTCCTGAGATTTAAATACAAATCCCTGTGTGGACGGCAGACCAACCAGGCAGATTCCATTTAACCCGTTCAACTTCTGAAGAAATAATAATTAATGCGCCCCTAACGGAGACCAACCATATAGACTGTCCTTCCCATGCGAGTAAGAAAGTTTGCTCACATATAATTCACAATGTAGTAATAGTAACGAATAAATTTGGATAGCCTAGGCCAGTCGGCATGGCCCTTGTTGTTGATTTATGTATGTATCCGTCTTGCGTGAGAGCTCATACGTCTCTAATATATATATATATATATATATATATACACACACACACACACACATAGATATATCATCAAGTGCCTTGCCGACTATGACACTATATATATATATATATATATATATATATACATACATACATACATATATCATCAAGTGCCTTGTCAACTGGTGTGGGCGATCATGCCTCTCCATAATATGTGATCCGCAATTGCAAGTATCAGTTCACGTGTTAATTATATATATATTTATAAGCTGGAATGTTAATAGTTCATTAAAAACAAATAGTACCATCAAAGGTGCAATATTAGAACTACAATACAGTATTTAGAGTACTATATCTTTGTCTGATAAAATAGGTAAAGCGGTGGAAATGGCTGAGTAGTTATAGAATTTAAGTGTGGTCTTGATTACTGCTTGGTGTTTTGAAGACAATAGCAATAATGAGAATGTCCCACCTATTTGTGAATGTATGACAGCTAATATAGTAGGAATGTTCCACCTATCTGTGAATGTATGACAGCTAATATAGTAGGAATGTTCCACCTATTTGTGAATGTATGACAGCTAATATAGTAGGAATGTTCCACTTATCTGTGAATGTATGACAGCTAATATAGTAGGAATGTTCCACCTATCTGTAAATGTATGACAGCTAATATAGTAGGAATGTTCCACCTATCTGTGAATGTATGACAGCTAATATAGTAGGAATGTTCCACCTATCTGTAAATGTATGACAGCTAATATAGTAGGAATGTTCCACCTATCTGTGAATGTATGACAGCTAATATAGTAGGAATGTTCCACCTATCTGTGAATGTATGACAGCTAATATAGTAGGAATGTTCCACCTATCTGTGAATGTATGACAGCTAATATAGTAGGAATGTTCCACCTATCTGTGAATGTATGACAGCTAATATAGTAGGAATGTTCCACCTATCTGTGAATGTATGACAGCTAATATAGTAGGAATGTTCCACCTATCTGTAAATGTATGACAGCTAATATAGTAGGAATGTTCCACCTATCTGTGAATGTATGACAGCTAATATAGTAGGAATGTTCCACCTATCTGTGAATGTATGACAGCTAATATAGTAGGAATGTTCCACCTATCTGTGAATGTATGACAGCTAATATAGTAGGAATGTTCCACCTATCTGTGAATGTATGACAGCTAATATAGTAGGAATGTTCCACCTATCTGTGAATGTATGACAGCTAATATAGTAGGAATGTTCCACCTATCTGTAAATGTATGACAGCTAATATAGTAGGAATGTTCCACCTATCTGTGAATGTATGACAGCTAATATAGTAGGAATGTTCCACCTATCTGTGAATGTATGACAGCTAATATAGTAGGAATGTTCCACCTATCTGTGAATGTATGACAGCTAATATAGTAGGAATGTTCCACCTATCTGTGAATGTATGACAGCTAATATAGTAGGAATGTTCCACCTATCTGTAAATGTATGACAGCTAATATAGTAGGAATGTTCCACCTATCTGTAAATGTATGACAGCTAATATAGTAGGAATGTCCCACCTATATGTGAATGTGTGCCATCTAATGCAATGGGAATATCCTACCTATCTGTGAATGTGTGCCGTCTAATGAGGTGGGAATGTCCTACCTATCTGAGAATGTGTGTCAGCTAATATAATGTTAATGTCCTAAATATCCGTGACAAAGCCATCTTTAGTAGTAACAATTTCTTACCCACAGCTTTTATAGACACTAAGTGATGAGTACCGGCGTCTGTTTTTCTAGAATGGAAAAAAGGCCTGGATCTACCTATCTAATGTGACGAAGACAGCAACAATAGTAAGAATGCCTGATGACAGGAACATCAGAGGGTAGCTGTTACTAATGTGCGGCAGACACAGACTAACCAATGTTTAACAAAGCAGACTTACCTATGTGTGGCAGAGACAGTCTAACTAATGTATAACAAAGCAGACTTACCTATGTGTGTGGAAGACAACTGGCCATCATCCATGACGGTAGTGATGTTCTCCGTATAGCCATGCCCGTAGGATTCCAGCGGATAGGCAGGTTCGCCATGTTTTGGTATGTCCAGACCTGGCCATGAAACACAGTTGATGTTAAAGATAACCAGATGTATAAATTGATTATTCCCTTCTCTAGTCAAGGGGCTGCGTGGTCTCGAAGCATGGCGTCCGTCTTGAGTGCTGGAGGTCCCGGGTTCAAGCCCAGGTAAAGGCTGGGGATTTTTTCACGTGGACTTCTGGTAATTTCCCCTGGTCTCTGGGTAGTAAGATCGACGCCAGTGTGTATTGTTGTGCACGTAAAAAAAATCCCTTGCCAGTTGGAAATCGAGAAGAGTAGCCTAACGCCTGGGCAACATTTGGAGTTAAAAATCTACCCAAAGTATTTCTGTATCCTCACCAGTGCTACGAAGTTCGTGGACTGCGCTAAGATTCTTCGGACTTAGGCTTGAGTCAGAAGTAGAACAAAGCACTTATGGGTTACTTACCCTTCTGCTATAATTTTGATCCGTCGTCTAAACCTAAACCTCTCCCTTCTCTAGTCATCAGTAGATACGAGACAGAAGGAAACACTTATTCTTTTTTCTACCTGCCAGTGGTTTTCATATGGAGGGGGGAAAATCACTGTCTGCAACGAAGGTTATGGTGGGACGCATCCTCCCCTAATCATGTACAGCTTGGTTTCCACAGGGATGCCAACTGATTTGAACTGGGAGAAGGACAAACTAACGTGGATAATTAAAGACGAGTTATGTTATTGGGAAAATATTAGTGTAAAATACGTCGTGACACACGCCAAGCCAGTGTCGTGATAATAGCACACTCGTTTGTGGGGTAGACTACAATGTCACTGAAACCAAATCAACATAAAAAGAAGATATTCTGCCATTGCCTTTCACTGCGTGTGCTTACCACTTTCTTGGTGTATGTATGGGGTCTTTGAGCCTGGTGATTTAGGGCGGAATGGTTTTGGGGCTGTCGCCATGTACTATGCAGGCTAGGAGTTTGTGTTTGCTCCCGACAGAAAACAAAAAAAACCATAGCCTTACCAAGGATTCGAACCTGGGTCTGCCACATGAAGTGCTTTGGGGTTCTTGGCAAAAGCTGATTGTCAACGTTTGGTGCAGGACAGCCTAGTCTATGTTATCACAACATTCAGCTTAAGAATGGAGGTAATAGCAGTCACTGCAGCTTTGCGCTGGCTAGGAAATACGACATATACACAGACAAACACATACACAACTGATTCAGAAAGCATGCTGTTGAAGGTGAGGACAGGTATGCTTCGTGTAGAGTGGCATGCTTTGCTTTAGAGATCATGGATGAGGAGCATTGTCTGGATATTTTCTCCGGGGCATGGCGGTGTGTTTTTCAGGAACCAAACAAGGGGACCGACTGGCTAGCTCTGCACAACTTAGTGAAATACTGATGCATGATTTGTCAAACGGGATTAGTGTCTTACAGGAGCACGTGTACAGTTCGGAGTAGCACATGGTGATATGGCCGATACTCGACGCTCAGAGGAAAGGCGAGACGGACATATATTCAGAATGCTACTGGCACTATTGGCATTGGAACTCTGCTCTGACTTCTTCCTTGTTCACCGACTGTAAGCTCTGGCGGAACGTCCTGGTTGTTCGTCCATCTGGAATTTTGTGTCAAGGACTGAGTTTTGTAAGTACATACCTTTTTACTGGCTAATTTGTGTGCAGTTAGTTGTTCCTTGCTGCTCGGGCAGATGCACTCCGACTTCGAAGAAAGCCCAAGATTAGTCGACTCCTATGACATGCTTGTTGGGGAGGCAGTGGGTCTATTCTTGTTTTTCTCACCATGGGACCCCAGAGCCCAGACGGGGAATCCATTTCTCTACACCTACCTTTTATCTCCATGTCAGCGGACACTCTGAAGGTGCCCGTTAGTTTCAGTGTTCCAAAGACCAAAGAACTCATCGCCGCCGTCCAAGCCACAATTGATATCAGGCCCACTAACTGCCACGCCAGCAACTAGACCAGTTGAAAATTGGAAAATAAACTTACCAGCAACATGTATTCAAGTATAGTGGAGTAAGTCGATATCTATTGTTGAGGTGTTGCGATCGCTCTTCGTAATTCTCATATGCCTGCTTTGACTCCCTCTGAGAGTTATTTTGCAGCAAATCGATTTGTGTTAATTTCGACAGTGTTCTGCAGCGCTAGGCGTTAAAATAGAAAACAGCTGACTACTGAAAATTAAACTGCTTAGCATAATCACAGTTTTTTTTTTTTTTTGTAAATGATGGAGCTGCTTCTGTGACGCGCTGAAGAGATACCAAAATATTTTTTTCAAAGACATCCTTATCACTCTTTTTATCTGTCCAGGGCATTCTCTTCATTCGTCTATAAAACCACATCGCTGCAGATTCCGAATTTTTTCGTTTTTTTCTACTCATCTACCAACTGTTCATGATTCGCGTCCGTAAATCAAGATTTACTAGACTAACGAACATTATACTAATGACATGGACAGCATCACGCTGGTGGCATTAACTATAACAGCAGCAAATGAAAAACATTGTTGTTACAATTATACACTTTCCGTATTTGAATAGTATATTATAATTCTTCACAAAAGCCGAAAGATGTAGGTGAATGTAATAACTAAGATTTCAATTTTAAAAAAGGCATGAGAAGAGGGGGCGCAGTCGGCATAATATTCTGGGGTCCATGCAGCTCAAAGGGGTCATATAAAGGGAACAAATATTAAATACATTGTTTATCTATATTGTTTTGTCATTGTGTAAATACTAATGTATATTATTGTTTTTTGTCATTTACAGAAAATCCTTACGACCTTAATGATTTATTTGTCCATATGTAGATAGAGGAGTGGGCAGGGGCATAATAGTTTTGTTCCAGGATTTAATAAACATCCCCGCCGCTCTGCAGATAACAATCAGCCATAATTGCAACACACAAGAAAACAATGGGCTAAGACTGCAACACTCAAAGGCAATCGTCTAGGTATGAAACACACTCAGAGATGTAGTAAAACCACAGCAAAGAAAACAGCGAGCTAGGACTGCAATGCATGACTAATGTCTAAGACGGCAGCATACATAACATTCGAGGAAGATACATTCACAAAAGATAACAATCTAATACTAAAAAAAGCGGGTATGTCTTAAAAGGTGTATAATGGTATAATTGGCTTGAGGTTAGCTACCACATTCTGTTAAACACTTAAGCCCTCCTGTGTCGTGCTGGTAAGCCTAAGTTGTCATGTTTCACCACCTCAGGTGCTCATCAAAATCACTGATAAGTTAAATGTTTTTGTCTATCCCAACCATCTTGTCAGGGCATACAGGTATTTATCACTTTGCCTTCCTCTTGTTATCTTCCCATCAATCTTTCCAGTTACCAAGTTCTGGAGTTCTTTCCTTCTAATTATAAGTTTTAAAAAAAGAAAGAAATAACAAACTAACCAGGTTTGCAGGGTTAATAGACAAGGTAGCCTAGTTTCTTAGACAAACTATAAAATGTTGCACAGAAAGATTAAAGGAACCTGGATGACAAAAGTATTCCCTTCCACCCAGTAAGATCTTTTTTTAGATGGCATCCCCGACACAAAATACACGTGGAAGGAATTATAGAATAAAGTTAACAGTGAATGGGGAGAATTCTGGGTGAGCTACAGACGACAGGGAAAGATAGGACGGCGGCACGTGAGTTAGTTGATAGCCAGTCAAGAGGCTTGTAACACACACAAAAATAATCAGTAAAATAGCCTTCACAGATGTTCCAGTGTATTGTAATTTCAACGTTAACACCACTAAACCTTAAAATACCAAGAGTGCCAGTTATGGAATTCTAAATTGTATTTTTAAAAATAATTTTTTTTGTCCCCCTTCAAATTCTAGTGTTATTTAATTTTTAACATATGCCAGTGACAGATGGAGACCCACTAAAGACGTGGAATAAAAGTTAAATGCATTTGCAAACAAATGCTTTAGGAAAATGTTAAACAATAAACAGGGTGAATTCAAAGAAATGAAGAAATCAGAGAAATGTCTAGGCAACCACTGAAAGCAACAGTTGTTAGACAAACGCTATATTGGACACACACTGAACAGAAACAAGCAGTTGATTTCCAAACGTGGAAGACATTACGTACTGATAAAATTAGACATAAAGAGAATAAGGAATACCAGAAGGTCCTAAATAAACCATAGAATGAACGTTGATTAGAAACGTCAAAGGTGCCGGACTACATCTAGCTCATGATATCGAAGAGATAGCACAAGATAAAACGGAATATAGTAATAAATTGCGAGCAATATGTGACATACAGTGGGGCACCAGGGCAAAAATAATGGTGATACTGATTAATGACCAAGTACTCACAAGTGCAGACAACATGTTCCAGCTCATCAATATTCCAGACTCGTATTTGAGGAAAGCAACAGCCAGCACTCCCCAAACACCACCACCAAAATGAACTGTTAGTTTCAGAAAATAATATATTGTTGCTTACCGCACATCGTAGCATACCAATTTTCTAACTAAAATGTTCAACTTTTCTTTCATTCCTAGTTCTACTTGTTCTTAAAGTCCATCCCGTGTGGCGTTGGTAGTCATGTCTATCCACAAGCTTTTCTCTTGTGTACTTTCGATTAAATCTGACACAGATGATCTTCCATACCAGGATGTCCAACTCTCCGTCTCCCTCTCTTCCCCTCCACCTTTCCTACTGTCACGATGCACCCCAGTTCTCGCCTTCTCATGACATGACCAAAGAATTTAGAATGTCTTCTCATGTGGGCATCTGTTCTCTTCATGAATCAATTTCTTTCCAGACATCTTCATTACTCTTTTAATATTTCCACGGTATTCTCATCATTCGTTTCGTTTTATAAAACCGTATCTCTGCAGCTTCCAAATCAGTTGATACTTTAATTCATTTTTTTTCCCAACGAGCTGAGTTTGGTAAGTAAAGTCAAAGATCCTTTTCTCTTTTCCAGACAAAGAAGCGGACAAGTTGACAAAGACAAATCGATATATATCACAGGCAGATCAGATACAGAAAAAGCAGACGCACATCATAGTGCTAGAACTAAATCGACATTTAATGGGCGATCAGTCAGCATCACATCGACCGTCTTACTTTCTGAGACACAACTTCAATTTTCAATAACAACCGCAGTTCCCTGCGTTGGAAATTTGAGCTCCAAATTCTCCAGGCCGGCAATCCGCAGCTGCCCGTTTAGCTTAACTAACAATAGCTACTTAGATCTGTGCATACTAAGGTGCAGGGTAGTTAACTATTTTAGCACCAAGCTGCGCATTTTGTGTGTGTGTGTGTGCGTGCGTGCGTGCGTGCGTGCGTGCGTGCGTGTGTGTGTGTTTTTTTTTTTCAAGACAGTATAATATTCCTACTCTCTTCTATCACATTTCATAATCATGTAGCAGGTCCTCTGCAGAACGTCGCTCTCATTACGGTCTGCCTGAAAGAAGTTCAGTCTCTCGCCAGCTCTCTAGCCTCGTTTACTCTCATATTCAAGTAGTCACTTGTATTTTGTGCTCATCTTCGTGTTGGTCGGTCCCTGCTCCTCAATCCTAATGCCATGTCTCCAGCTAATTTTTCTTCCAGTTCGCCATGGCGCTTGATATGACCAAAGTATTTCAGCTTTCGAGTCAAGATACTGTTTATTAGCCAATCTTCCTTGATGTTTAGATCTTTTAGAATGTCAGTATTTTTTCTCTTACTTGTCCATGGTATTCTGAAAATGTTTCTTTAGCATTACAACTTCAAAGCCCCTATTTTCTTTCTTAAGGACTGGGTGATAATCCAGGACTCAGATACGTTGAGCGAGAGCGACCGAGAAACAATTTGTTTATCTTACATCACCAGTTAATCATCGTCATGTGTTCGTTCATATTAAACTAAATTGATGGCACTAGTAAATCATACCTTGAGTAATTTATTATAGTTCGTTAAGCAGTTACTTGTTTCTTAACTAGCGCTAGACCCAAAAAGGAAGGACCTCATTTAATCATAACTCTAGACGCTTGTTAGATAGTGGAATGGTATATAAAGCGGTGTGATATCGCAACCTATTTCACAACAGTGTCAGACAAACAAACAGAGAGACAGATAGAAGCAGACAGACAGAAAGACGAACAGACAAAGAAGTGGACAAGTAGACAGAGACAAACTGATATATATCACAGGCAGACCAGACACAAAAAAGCAAACGCAGAAAATAGACAGACGCAGACAGCCAGACAGACACAAATTGACCCATACACATATTTCCGCACAGACAGTTATATTACCAGCCACAGCGTCGACCGGGTCATCAATCTTAAATCTGCACATAAGCCACGAAATGAGGTTGAACGACACTCCTGCAAATGCACCAACAATTGGCGCCGCCCACGGTCTGTAGACGTTACACCCTGAACACACCGCAACCTGTCAACGTAAAATTATGTTCTGTAATATTTTTTGAGAAGAAGGTTGCGAATACCTTGGACTGCCAGAATAACTAACAATAATTGCCTGGAAATGGCTAATGAAAGTAGAACATTATATAGAACAATGAGAAGGAGAAAAAAAGTTCTTTAGTCGTGTGATGCGAAAAGAAGCACTGGAAAATATTGTGACGACTGGAATGATCACTGGCAGAAGAATAATCCATTCTGCCGGATATCGGAGGTTGTGGATAGAGATGAATGTCATGCAACTCGCCAGGGCGCTTGATGATGACGAACTCGTTAGTAATGAACAGTCAAGACTATTATCACAACACTCTGGACAGATCTATTGAGTACACCACCCAACAAGTGTGACTGGTCTATACAATATAAGTCCAGCCCTATATGGCTAGTACGCCTGCAATCATAGAAGAGGGTCCTTTCCTTTCTTACCAACCCAACGGTCTCCAACCTAGGGGGCAAGCGTCTGTGGTGTTTTGCTGGATGCTCAAGAAGGTGTGGGAATCTTGTCATATACTCAAGTGGGCACAGGGATCTTGCCATATACTCAGGAATACGTCGAAATCTTGCCATATACTCAAGGGGACGTGGGGGGTTGTGCCGTATACTCAAATGGGCGCAGGGATTTTGCCATAAACTCAAGAGGGTGTGAGGATCTTGCCAGATACTCACGGGTGCGTAGGGTCTTGTATATACTTAAGGAAGTCTGACCTGAAAAAGTTACAGATCACTGTACTAACAAGCGATAGAGTCAAAAAACCCTACTTACCATACCAGACAGTGCTCCATTCATTGTGCTTAGCAAACTCCAGGTACGGCCAAGAATACCTATTCTGCGTCGAAGGAAATTTTAAATGAAACAAACTTTAATGAAATGGTCATGATAATAATAGGCTGCCGCGATAGTGATGTAGCTGGTTGCCTTTTGTTTGGCTGAAGATCTTAAATCTGGTATCGGTATGGGCAATGATTTATTGAGGTTCTTCTTCTAACTCAAGTCTGAATCCAAAGAAGCTCAGCACAGGGTACAGGCTCTGTAGCACCGGCGAGGATCCGGAAGTACTTTGGGTAGATTTTAAACTCCAAATTTTGCACAGGCAGCGCCGTTATGCTACTCTTTTCGATTTCATACTGCCAAGGGATTTTTTTCCGTGCGACAAGTACTGTACTGAGCTTCTTCCGAAGCAGACTTTAGTAAGAAGACGAACGGAGCCTTATGGGTTACTACCCGTGTGCCATGATGTTGATCCGTTGTTTAAACTTCAAACTTTTTCCTGCCTTTCCAACCACTAGTGATTCAAAGGCCCTCAACCAACTCACGCCAAGTCGTTATATCCTTTGCTTTCGCATGCAGCTCTCTCTATCTCCTCTCCATCTTTTTAACCTCCCCCTCCAGCTCCCTTCTCGATGTGTGAGTGTATTTGCGTAAATATGTGTTCTTTTTGGCTTCCTTTATTCCTATGCCCCTGTGGGTTACAATGCAAAGACATTCTAGTCATATTTTTCTTAGGTTTTCTCAACGTGTGTCCTATTCAACGCCAGCGTCTTTTCTTCACCTCTTGGTCCACTCGAGCTTATCTCCCAAAGCTGTACTTTAGTGATTCTATCATACTACTGAATTCCTTATGTTCCGCGCAGGCACCAGTTAATGAATGTTTGTAGTTTATTAGTAATTTCAATAACTGTTCTCCATATTTCCGCCCCATACAAAAGTACTGATTTGACATTGGAATTTAACATTTAAGTTAATTCTTTTTTAAATTCAAACATCGTTGAACCTCTACAAATTCCCTAGTGCCTTTTATATTCGTATTTTGATATCACAGTCAGTTACTCAACCCCCCCCCCCCCCCCCCCCCCCCCCCCATCTTTATCTACATTACTGCCTAAATAGGTGTTCGACTCCACGTCTTGAATGGTTTGCACCCTATGTTTTGTGAAATAGACCGTAGGTACTGTTTCAGCGGTCGCCCTGAAAAGAAAGGTTGGTACTTTGTGTGGTGGTTTACTGCTAGGCTGCGATATCACTGCCTTTTGGCCAAACACGTACAATGTCAGCATACCTGTAATTAGTCGCCTTTTACGACATTCTTGTTAAGAGGTAGTTGGTCTATTCTTTCGTCCCCAAAATGGCGTCCAGATGGAGAACTCACACGAAAAGACCATCAATGATTTCCTAATTAAAATGCAGCCCTCAAACCTTACCCCCCCCCCACACCTTACCCAAAAAAGGTCGGCTACAGCTTATCCAGAGGGCCACCGTGGTTTAGCAATTTAGACGCTACCCTGCGGATCCGAATTTCGTGGGTTCAAATCCTAACGGAACCGAAGATTTTTCAAAACTGACTTGGTTTCCAGATTCACCTAGCCTTAAAGAGTACCACAGAAGTCTAGGAAAGTAAATGCCACATCTGTTAGGCTGTCCATATCAGCCACCGAGCGCTGATTAGCCTGTGCAGCTCTACACGTAAATATGCTTGTGGGCTTGGAAGGCGACTATTGCCAGTGAGCTACGATTTGTCGTGCTTATCAAAGATCCACCACGATAGGGAAACACCAAAATGGGTAAAACCTGTTACCTGTGTACAAGAAGTGTAACAAAACCGGACGTGCTTCCAGCGATGACTGTGTTGACTACTATGACGCTCATTGCTGTTCCATCCCCCGGCTTGGAGAGACTGCTCTGAGACCCAGCATTGAAGGCCAAGAACCCAAACAGCAGGATAAAGCCACCTAGAGCTGTAAACTGGATGACGTAATGTAGAAATACTTTTAACGCTTAAAAAAAAAAAAAAATAGCAACACCAATAAAAAAATTATAATTGGCTCAATGGCAAATAAATGTTTCAATGTAATTGATTTAATGTAAGGTATGTTAACCAAGACTTTTTATGAAAACATTTTACAAAATTTAGAACCTATTCAGTCCAGTTATACTGTGTTACTTCTTTGTAAGCCATCCCAATATGGGATGCAATTTCGTTGTTGTTTTCAAGCCCCACCTCGGTTGTGGTCGGGGGTACTAAAACAACTTAACGGTTAAACGGGGTTTCTGGGACCTGTCATCGTGTGATCCTCATCCGAATGGTGGCACTTTGTGTCACAAAGTGTTTATCACTCTATGTAATGACCTGGTGGTGTTGAACGTCAATCATTCAATCAGTCCTGTTATAAAATTTCTGGAACAGCTTAGCCTTCTTCTCCCCCCCCCCCCCACCTTCCCCATGTTTCTAGTGAAGGATGGCTAAAGAATCCTAGCAGTCCTGCCACTTCTTTCTGGTATATATACGGGGGGAAGTCAATAAGTAAGTCACAAATGGTTATGGGATGGCAGTAAAATGTTGTTGGTGGTTTCTAAAGGTGTCTTATTTTGTTTGATGGCGCTAGGTGTTGCATGCGCCTTCGCAACACATAAACAAAATGGCGATTGTACTTACGAAGTGTACCCTTAAACAACAATGTGCTGTTGTTGTTTGTTGTTTTTGTTGTTGTTTTTGTTGTTGGGGGGGGGGGGGGGGGGGAGTTAGTGAAGGTGCAAAAGGGCTGCCTGCAAAAGACATTCATAGAGAAATGCTTCTTAATTATGCTGACAAATGAAGGAAAAGACATGCTGAACAAGATTATTAATGGGGACGAATACTAAGTGCGTCACTATTGGCCCAAATCAAAGCATGCCTCAATGCTCAATGCAGTGGAAACATACTTTTCGCCTTACTTTAAAAAAATTCAAGGTTACGCCATCAGCAGGGAAGGTTATGATGACAGTGTCCTGTGATTGTCAAGAGTGCTTTTAACCAATTAAAAAAAAAAAAAAAAAAGAGGTGACAGTGGGAATGCTGAATCATACTTTATTTTTCTATCATTGCATCAAGATGCAATTCGATGAAAACGTCCAGGCCTGCTGCATAGAGGAGTACTTCTCTTTCGGGACAGTGACAGACCACATATGTATCGGTTAACACAGGAGAAAATTAACCATCTGGCTTGGGTACTTCTGGAAAATCTACCTTACAACCCTAACGATTTACACCTTTTTGGTCCACTGAAAACCCACAATTTTACATGCAGTGTCTTTTCGATGAAATGGTTGACGCTGGTATAGTACTCTCGGGGTTTTCCGTTGCGAAGTGTCAAGCTGTTTGACTCGCGCTCTGAAGGTCATGGCTTCGCTTCACGAGGGCATCGTCGTTTCAAGAGTGCAGTTTTCATAAAGATATTTGATTTTGGATGTAGCTACGGAGTAAGTGATTCTTATGCCACTCTTGGAAGGCAGGAAGCTATTTTGCGTTGAAAGCCCGAGTCAAATGTGATAAAACCCAGTGTACTGAAGTCTGTCTTATTACCTTTACTTTTTAACTTGTAACTGCAGCTGAAAATAACCCGTTAATTAGGATTTATGAAACTGCAATCACAACCCCTATGCCGTAGACAGCGACTGACATGACTGGGTAGAACAACAAAACCAAAACCCTTACCGGTAAGGAGTGTCCCCGAACCTGAAGGACTGTTTTACTTTCTTCATGGAATCTTCCAATGCGAGGACCAAGAAACAAAGCACCAAAAAAGGCAGCGGTTCCACCAAGACAATGGATGGCGCAACCTCCAGAAAAATCCTGTCATTACCAATGTTGTGCTTTTTAAGTTGTTTTTTTTTCCAAACATTTGTTTTAACGTTAATTGTTGATTATAGATTTAAGAATTGACATCTTAACAAACTTAGCATAGCCAAAAATGACGTAAAAGTCTCCCTGCTTCAACAGTTCTGACCATCACGGCGAAATCGATATCTCAGTCACTGCTATTGAATCCTGCTACGGTGATCAAACCAGCCGCTACTAATTAGAAAATCGTTTTTCTCCCATAGTTTTGGCGTTCTTAGTCCTCGAGGGATCAATATTTAACACGGCTTAATTTAATTTAATTTGTTTACTTGTTTGTTTTTTAACATATACAGATTTCTTCCCTCTTTTTACATACGCCTTTTTACTGATTTCATTTCGTGTTATAACCTTTATATTCACACTTTTCCGCTCATTACGTACTTCTTGTTTTCATGTTGATCTTGGTTTTCTATTAGCTCTGTTGTCTTGCCCATTAAGTTTTATAGTCACAGTTTGTGCAGCATTTAGTACTCCGTTGATAAAGACTTTGGTCGAAACGTTGGGTTGTGTTTGTGTCTTTTCCATTCCCTCCGTTGAGTTTTCTAGTCACATTTTGTATTATATTTAGCATTTCGTAGCCGTAAATGCCCCGTCTCCAGTAGTAAATGTCTTGATCTTTAGACTCTGATTTTTCCAGCAACACACTGGCTGTACACATAGGGCACTCTTCCTCTCATACAACCTTTCTTGCTTGATTCACACTTAATTCCAGATTCGCCCATCGTCAGTCAATGCTGTTTCTAGATATTTAAACTCAGACGTCCTTTTAATGCCTTTGCTTTCTACAACTATAACTATGTTTCGTCCCCGTTTTTCTAAAAACATTACTTATGTCTTTTCAGCGCTGAGTCTCAAAATATTTGTTTTACAATTTTCATTCAAGGATGTGAGATGTTATTGATGTTTCATTGTTGTATCACATATCAAATGACACCAATACTGAAATGCAAGCACATGAATATAAACACAAAGAAAGCACTGTTCAACACACTATTCTTACTAATTATATCAGTGTCAAAAATGCCTTCAGAGGACAGAAGAAAAATAGCCAGGACAGAAATTGCAATTTCACATATTGTGCTATGTATAACAAAGAAATATCGACTTATGACCCATAATACCAGGGGGAGAGTCGACACAGAACAAATACTGCACTTTATCGTTAGACAAAGGTCAAAATGGTCTGGCATGTAATAAAAGTGGCAACAAACAGTTCACCACGGAGAGCAGTATAAAATAGATACATTCGTAACAGAGACAGTGGCCGACCACGCAGAATATGAACCGCAGAAATACCACTAAAAAAATCAAATCTGAAGCACAGGTAGCAGTAATGGACAAGGGAAACATTCTAAAGATCATCCCCAATCAGCGTAAAGAGTGGTTACAGAAAACGTGGGAGAGAAGGGTAAGCGGGGTGGGGGATAAAACGATACGAGGGAGAGCGTTGAGAAGGAATAAGAAGAGAGAAGAAAATGAACACAATAGAAAGGTTGCTTTTCTAGGTGGTGTTAAGTATTATAGAAGTTCTTGTGTATATATATATATATAGTACTAGTGTAGTATAATATAATGGAATCACCAGTGTTGATCTATGGAACATAATTAAACAAACACTGATGAATCAATAGGTTTAAAAAGACGCTAACGAAACAACTAGCATGTCTTTGCAGTGAAACTCAAAGGGGCATAGAAAGAAAGGAAGACACAAAAAAGGTAAGAAGGACATAGTGTGAGCTCATGCAATAGCAAAATACAGGATTACTTCCCGTGAATTGGTTAAGGGCCAATGCTTCATTGGGGGATGACCAACTCAGTGTATAGTCAAATTTCTAGCAACGCGTTGCCAAATCGTCGAGCTGAAGATGATGATAGTTGTATCACATATAAAATGACACCAATACTGAAATTCAAGCACATGAATATAAACACCCCAACCTGCCATACCCCGCCAACACAAAAAAATGTGGTAAAACTATCGTTAGTCTCCCCATTGACGGCTCATTAACACACTAGCTCACTTCTGATTTGTAGTTTCTGAGCCTGTCACTTTGGCACAAGCTTATGGGGGTGTTACACGATGCCGTTGAAATCGCATGTCGTATAATTCATCCCGCCAGGGCTTTTAAAACTCCAAAAACATGGACAAAATGGGTCTAACACAACGCCCATAGAGAGTGCTGCAACCTATGTCAAAGGCATTATATTTCTCGGAATAAAAACATAAATGGAAGACAATCCAGAAAGCAAACATCAGAGCGGCACACCTGTAACCTGCACGAAAGTAGACCAGCCCAATATACTTGTGAATGAAACGTAACCTTCTTTGTTTGAGGAGACTAACTTAAACCTAACAAAATTTGTTTAATAAGGCCATTAAAAGACATGTTACTGTAAAAACTGACTTTAGACATTAACTTCCACTTGGGGTAACTTATAACATTTTACTGCACATGCGGGACTACGTACATGAAAGCTGATGTTCAATGTCATGTTGTTGACCTCGAAGGTTAATCCCGCCCGCAGCCATCCGTCAGGATGCCATACCCAGTGGGTAACAACCGGATAAACGAATGCTTGAAGAGACACAACGGGAATAAATGAGAAACACTGAGACTTTGAAATTATCACTGTCAACATTAGGTGCTATGCCAATAAGTGATGGGGTGACATTTAACCCTACTAAGACTGCACAAAGAGCTTTTCACACCCGATACACAAAGTGCCACCATTCGGATGAGATCCCCCAGGCGCAAGTCCCAGAAACGCCCCTGCAACATGTAGGTATTTTGGCTGTATATCTGGAATTTTCGAATGCTCAATATACACTCCTGCAGCTCGATTTCTGCTTGAGTTTTCTGCTTCGTATATACACGAACCCAAAGATTATATGGGTAATCGTCATCAAGAAGAGCGAGGGTGGCTGTTTTTCGTTGCACACTGTTTTGTTGTTTCTTGTCGAACAATCCTTTCACTGCTTCCTGGAGGTGTATTGGCAACTTATAATCCTCTTTCCTAGGCGTTTGATATGGAATAGCATTTAAGGGGCTATCAGCTGCAGGCATGTCATTGGTTTGCCTGCAGAGTCGCTGGGACTGGTGGATGGAACTGCTTCTTTTTGGTTGCTCTTTTGCCAGATTTTGGAATCTTTAGTGGATGTCTAATTTACGATTTGTCATCATGACATGTAAGATTATCTGTGTCAGAATTGACTGAAAGCATACGTGATTAAAAATTCTGGTTAGACATGACTACCAACGCTACTTGGCAGGGACTTGATATCAGATAAAGGAAAAACAATCTTGCTCAATGTGGAATCGAACTCTTTAGCTTTATTTTTCGGAAGGTATGCCTCCAGTCACTGCGCTGTAGCAACACCGAATAAAAAAAGAATATTCTATAAAACCCACTGTAAGCCCCGTATAATGGCTAAGGGCTCACTTACCGGCCTGAAAGTCTTGGTTTCGAATCAACATCCAGTCAGATTTTTTACTTCCTCAGAATTAACCACGGCTACCAGGTCAACCCAGCTTGAAATGTGTATCAGGTATTGTCCTGGAACTAAAGCCGGTCAGTTTTATGTTGACTGAATCGCTCAACGAGGGATGTGCAACAGCAAAGGACAGAACGGCTTGGCGTGCGTTGTTGTATCAGGTAATGTATCACGCAATGTCATCATCCTCATCATCATGTAGCAGGTCCTACAGAACGCCACACTCATCACAGCCCGCCTGAAAAAAAGCTTGATCTCCCACCAGCTGTCCCACCATGTGCACTTTTCAAACTTAAGCATTTCCAACATGTTGTTCCAATCTTTGTGCTGATCGTCCAATGTCCCTCTTTCTCAGGACGCTGCTCTCCACTACTGTTCTTTCCAAACCTTGACGCTTAGGCAAACTTTTTTTTTCCTTAGTTTTTGACACAAGATGTTTGTGTGAGTCAGGCAAATCTTCCTTGATTTTAAGATTTTTTTACTGTGTTAATTTCTTTTCCTCTTGGTATATGATTCCGTTCCCTTGCTTTGCTACGGTAGAAAAGTTTAAAAAAAAAAAAAGGGGGGGGGGGTAGCTTTGAGTTATGTGCGGCTATATATAAATGGCTTAGCATTGGACGCTTTATGTTATGTGCGCCATATGTAAATGGCTTAGCATTGGACGCTTTATGTTATGTGCGCCATATGTAAATGGCTTAGCATTGGACGCTTTATGTTATGTGCGCCATATGTAAATGGCTTAGCATTGGACGCTTTATGTTATGTGCGCTATATATAAATGGCTTAGCATTGGACGCTTTATGTTATGTGCGCCATATGTAAATGGCTTAGCATTGGACGCTTTATGTTATGTGCGCCATATGTAAATGGCTTAGCATTGGACGCTTTATGTTATGTGCGCCATATGTAAATGGCTTAGCATTGGACGCTTTATGTTATGTGCGCCATATATAAATGGCTTAGCATTGCACGCCACCTAGAGACCTGAAAAGGACTCATGTAGTGTTGATGCGATCAAAGGAGACAGGTGGTCCATGGCATTATGCCAATCTTTATATAGCACTCCAGCTCAAAATCCCAGTTTCGTCTACACAAATATGTATCTAGCATCATAAGCCCGATGCGTCACTAGAGTAAAAAGTGACCTTCACTGATTGTTTGTTTGTTTTAGTATCCAGAAGCCATGAGTTGTTAACCCTTAGGCTCGGTATTATGGATATCGCAATCTTTCGGCCTTGATTCCATGATAAATACCGTAAATCTGGGAGAAATGTGGCTTTTCTGCCTACCCCCGGGAGTGAACCCGGACCACAAGGAGTTCGTCACCCGCTCACCGCGCAATCCGGTTTAGCCAACTACGCTAGAGAGACGGGCACCTTCACTGATTAAACCCACTTACCTGTGATGACAAAACTGTAAACGAAGTAAGCCAGCATTTCGCAGCGTTCGGCTAGAGCTCCAGATACAATAGTAGCAGCCGTAGCCGCGAAGACGTAGTGGAAGAAAAAGAAAGCCAATCTGGAATTGGGGAGACTGGACGAGGCAAAGTACTCCCAGCCCATGAAACTGTTTCCCTCACCATGGGCGAAAGCGAAACCTAGTGTCCAGTAAGCAATCCCAGCAACAACTGGGGAAGATAGGGTGAATAACATACAAAATATTAATAAGTCATACTTATCCATGACAGATTAAATAAAATACAAACAATTATGCAATGAAATACTGGTGAAACAAATCCCTCTCCTTAAAAAAAAAAGTGTAGTCCAGATCAGCGAAAAGAAACATCTCATTCAAAGCATATTTATCCCCGCACTATGCTACCAGTGCCAGTTATGTCCACTCACATCAACACAAAAATAAAGGTTAGCAGCCACGGAACGAAGATATCACAGAAAGCTTCAGTCGTACTCGGAAAAGTGAAAATTAGGGATGAGGTCAGTCAGAAATTCGGCTTAGAACTGTTACTAAATTACTCACAAAGGCTGCAAAAATATTAGTTTGTTTATTGAGGGAGGATGCTGTGTGATGCCCTGGCGAAACAAAGCACTGACCAAAAGCTGAAAGGGATGCAAAATTAGGTAGACTAAAAATAAGCAATAAAGGAGGAAGTGGATAAAAAAAAGGTCTTTAAATCAGAGAAAACAAACGGGAGATCAAGTAAGAACACACCCGACATATATGAAACGAAAAGACGCTCAGACTCATACAAAGGTAAGGGAAACAGCAAATACAAAAGTCTTTAAAATTACATACTTATATAATCTATTTAACAGTTCTTCTTATTCATTCGTTCGACACACATTATCTATAAGTGTCTGATGAATAGCTGTAACTTTTTTTTTTCGCTTTCTCAGTTGTACACAAAGTTTGATGTTTGGATATAATTTTTTTTTTGTTTTAAATAACAGATTACTTGCCGTAATGTTTCATAATCGGAACAACCTTCCTAGAATGTAGTTGTCTCTATACTGACTAACCTACGGGTGGAAGCAATCTGAGTTGAGTTGAGTTGAATTATGAACCAACATCACAGCACTCGTGGTATTCCAATCAGCACTCCGTCCCCATCTTCAGCAGCCAGTGAAGAGTCCTATTACTAATGATGTCAGTAGCATTCTGATTAAACGTCCGTCATGCCTTTCCTCTGAGCCTCGAGCATCTGCCAGAACCTCTCGTCACTACCCCCTGCATAAATCTCACCTAAGTGTGGAGATCCATCTGCTCCTCCCAACTGTACACGCTCTCTCATCAAGCCCTAACCACGTCTACCTTATCATGCATCAGGATTCCACCAAGTTGTGCAGAGTTAGCCAGTCTGTCCATCTGTTCATTTCCCAACACACCAACACCAACATATCCTGGTATCTGTACTCCTCACCCGTGTTGGAAGCAATCTAGGACCGTATTACTGTCCACTGCTCTAGTTCTGGGAATCTTCAATTTTTACATGGATGAAAGAAATAATTAAATCAAACCTTTATGTTTGGTAGAATTAGTTGCTTTAATATGTACAAATCTCTGTAAGCATAAGAGACGTTCTAAAATGTACGCACATGATCATGATCTCTGTTTTCAAGAAAATTAGTTAGTTAGTTAGTTAGTTGGGTTATCCTCATTGCACTCCGGACATGTCCATAGGTGCTCAGATCCTCCCCTCAGTATGAACGCCAACGTCCGATGGCTAATAGTACCAGTTCTATGTTGATTAACAAGACTTCTGGCGTGTCTGGTGTGCGTCTCGTTTTTTGCTGTGCCGATCTTAATTCCCAAGTCTGCCATTCTGGCGAGTGATGTGGATTCACTGCCACCAAAGTCCTCTATCCTTCCCATTTCTCTGAGGGCATTGATAATATCAGCATGATCCATAGGCTGACCGTCGGTAGTGATAGCGGATCCAGCCAACCTGTCAGCTCTTTCATTTCCATCGACGCCTGCGTGTCCCGGAACAAAAATAAAGGTGACTCCACGCACAGTGGACTTCTGTAATGATTCAAGCCATTGTCTTCGCACTGAACCTGCCTGAACCCTCCGGATCATACTCATTGAATCACTGAGTATACATGCGCGGGTGTATTTTTGTGTTTCAAGCCAGGCAAACGCTTGCGTCACTGCCATCACCTCCATCGTCATGCTGCTGGTTGCCATGGAGAGAGCGCCGGTGGCTTCTTTGACTGTTCTGCCCGCTGAGCGTGCTGTAAATGCCCATGCGCTTCTTCTTTGGCGTATAACGGATCCGTCTGTATAGATTATTGCATCTGCTTCGTCTGAATTTTCACCGATGAGAGCGTTGACCTCTGCATTAACAGCAACAGGATTCTCTTCTCTACATCGCCTGTTGAGTGTGACAATACAGGAAAATGTACAAATAAACACTTGAGGCACAGGTATCCATTCTGCACCAGGTATGATGTCGGTTAGGCTGCATATTTGCCTAATAACATCTTCTGCCCCACCTAGCCACGATTTCCCCCTCTTCAGTCTGTCGCCCTTTTCACTAAAAAGCGCTTGATGCAGTGGGTGTTTCTTATCAGCACATATTTTGAGATATGCCCGAGCCCTCCACATCCTGATCCTTTGGTTCATTGTTGGAAAGTCAAGTAGATACCTCATTGCTCCTCATGATGTGTCTCTTGTACATCCCAAAATAATGCGCATGGCTTCATTTTGCACTTTTTCGAGTCGTTCAATCTGGGTAGCACTGACAGTGAGGATGGCCAGAGCGTATTCAATGGGGGGAAAGGACCAGACCGTAGAATAGAAGTAATAGTAGTCTTTGATCAATATTGGAAGCAGCCATAATCCTCATTGCAGATAGACCTTTGCGTGTTTTTGTTATCACATGGTCAACGTGTTCCCTGAATGACAAGCTGCGATCGAGCCTCACACCGAGAAACGTCATAACGTTGGTTCTGATCAATACATTTTGTTTTCAAGAAAAGAAAGATCTTATTGTGCGCTGCTGGTAATAAAACACGATACATTGTTGTGTACATAATACGGAATTCCAAAATTACTGAGGTAAAAGTTTCAACTGTATTTATCCCTTATTTATTTATTTATTTATTTATTTATTTATTTATTTATTTATTTATTTATTTATTTATTTATTTATTTATTTATTTATTTATTTATTTATTTATTTATCTATTTATTTATTTATTTATTTATTTATCTATTTATTATTAGCTTTCTTGTTTTCTTACGATCTTATATTCCCTCTACGACTTCCTTATTTCTGTCTTTGTTGTTCCAATTTTTTTTTTGATCGCTGCCTGCCTTCCATTGTCTCTTTAATTTTAATTTTTATTATTCGTTTTCCGACTGTCTTTTTCATTTTCTTTAATATTGTTTTAATTCTTTATCCCGTTTTTTATTTTTATTTTAACAATACAATTTATGATAATTTGCTATAATATGTTGGGGGAAAAGGGAGGTGGGTGTAACGAAGAACGAGAGAAAAGGGTGGGGGTGGGGTGGGTTAAAAAGACATGCTTCCAGAAGAAGAACTACACTGCATGTGACTGTTCTATCTATGTGTGCGTGCCCTGCAGAATGACACACGTGACAGAAGCAACACAAACTTCACTGCTTACACGAGTCTAGCATGTTCTTCATTAGAAGATTGGTGGTGTTTTTGCTTCTGACGCTACCGGCTTCCAGAAAGGCGAATCCACATTGCATCACTGGCAGATCAGAAACATCAAGTTAATCAGCAGACTTAGAAGATGTATTCGAAGAAATTAAATTGAATATAAATAAACTAAAACGTGCACAAAAAGCGTTAACATCATACACAAATTTTGTGGTATGGTGAAAGGAATTTATAAAACACACATATTTTATGGTACAATGAAATGAATCAACTTAATTACAAACATATTTTGAGATATGATGAAACATATCACATTAACCACACACATGTGTGAAGAAAATACGTAGATAATGACAACAAAGACATGATTTGAGACTGAAGTATTTGACTTGTGAATCTTCAGGAAACCTATGTTCGTTATTTTAATGAAACAAAAATTCATACAGACATAAGTGAAATAAAGTAAAGGACCTATAGACACACCTTCAGCGATACTGGGTATATATGGCTAGACTTATATTTTATAGACCAATTGCACTTGGTGAGTAACTGCACCTGGTTCCTACTCAAGGCTGGGTAGACCCTGGAGTGAATGTCATTTTATCTTTTAAAAAAGGCCGGCTACGTCAGGACTCCAACCCACGAACTTCCTGTTCCCAGGCAAGCGTCGAGCCGCTACGCCATGGCGATTTCCAAACATAGACATATCAGAACAAATTAAACGTGCTGTTGAAAATGTGGATTACTACAACAATGATTAAACACACACACACACACACACACACACACACACACACACACACAAACAAACAAACACACGCCATTGTAAAGTTTCCTATGAAAATAACATGGCGCCTCCAAACGAAAACAGCGCCCAGCTGCTGAAGCAAGTCTACTTCGTATACCAGGATGGCAGCTACAGCTTTCTAGTTTCATTTCCATATTGGTATAGTGTGCCATTATATATCTCTGTTCCATATCTTTGAGTATCAATCAACACAAGTCTCTTTATCGCGCGAAATTCTATAGGCATCGAACAATAGTAGGTTGCTTCAGTTTGTTGAAGCAGTAACTATGAATTGTTTCCTTGTCGTCCAGTTTTGTGTTTACCTTGGTGAAACAGGTAGTAATACCTGGATGGAACGATATGTGTATTTCAGTTAAAAGAAGTCATTTGCCTTTTTAAACTTTTTTAATTATGTATTATGCGTCTGAAAATATGGCTCTGCTTTGATTGGTAGGAAAAGTGCATGGCAATTCATTACAGAAGTAAATGGACTTTGCTTAGTGCAAAAAAGCCTGTGGTATACTATAAAATACAATTTTAAGATTGACATGGAGGCAGTCACAGCAGATAACCGCTACCTTGAGAGCCAGGGCACACAGACACATATCATAACTATAACTATTTCCACAAAGCTGGAGCTGGCTGAGAATTTTTAAGTAGTTTGCACCTTTATAATTTTTTTCCTGTCTGTGCAGTTGTGTTGAGAAACGAGCATGCAGACAGATTTGCTGGGCCTGCGTCACTGGATAATGAATTGGTGCATGATACGCTAGATATGGTCAAGACTCTTTGGTAGCAGTGAAGAATGCAGAAACACTAACAGATCTTTGGCGCGCAGATATTGGTGAAGCAGGTGGGTTATCATGGGGTCTGGCCAAGACTCTACACTCAGAGGAAAGGCAGGACGGATATCATAGTTTCACACTGCTGCTGGTTCAGTCAGCCTGGAAACTGCTCGCTGACAGCTGAAGTTGAGGGCGAAGAACTTAAAGGAATATCCCAAATGTTGAGCTGTCAGGTCTTAGCTGAGCTGAGCTCAACTCTGCTCCACTGCACTCAACTAAACACCTGAAGAGATACGCTTAAATCTACCAGGAAATATACTGTACAGTCTTTTATCGGAGTCTTTGCACACATTGATGAAAGTGAAACATTGCTTTGGTTTTGTTATCAACACAGTTTGCCAGTACATATGGCAGAAGGCTGTGTAAAGATGCTGTGCCCAGCGCAACACAGCATGCACAATAATAAGAAGACGACGCTGATGTAGAATTTGAACTGTCGCACAAGACAAAGAAAACGCAATTAAAACATAATATACAAAGTACAAAACAAGTACGAGAACACCCACTAAATTTGGACAAAGCTACAGAATTCAAAGGTCACTTTGCTTTATGTAAATATTTTCATAGAGGCATGCATTCAGATTTCATTAGCAATTATAAAAACCTTTTGTACACGCAGACAGCTTGACACATGTCTGTTTTTACATTTGTACGGTTTTCGTTTTATAAAAAAATGTTTAAACTTCAGACATCCGTGTATATCTTCATTCACTTATTTGATCAAGTTTGGGTCTTGAGGTTTGAGGTTTTAGGTTTGAACAATGGATCAACATCATTGCACACAGGTAGTAACCCATAAGTGCTCCGTTCTTCTTCTAACTCAAGTCGGAGTCCAAAGGTGCTCAACACAGTGCACAGGTTCTGTAGCACCAGCGAGGATCCTGAAATACTTTCGGTCGATTTTTAACTCAAAATTTTACCTCCGTTAGGCTACTGCTTTGGATTTCCATTTGCCAAAGATTTTTTTTTTACGTGCGCAGCAATGTATACGGGCGTCTGATCTCACTACCCGGAGACCAGTGGGAATTACTAGAAGTCTAAGTCCACGTGAAAAAATTCCAGTCTCTACCGTGGTTTAAACCCAGAACCTCTAGCCCTCGAGGCGGACACCATGCCTCAAGACCACACAGCCCAGTATAGGTCTTAACCCAAGCTGTTCCCATTTACCGCAGTGTTTCCTGTAACCTTTTATCGAATCTGTGCATAAACTGTTATGTTTACCTCCAGTCTGTTAAAACACTAGGAAGCAGTTATGAGATTATATTTAGTAGTCACAAAGAAAAATTTTCCACAGCTGAAAACAATAATAAAGGAAAGAAAAGAACCCTGTTTAATTAGTAACCATGTAAATGAGATGTCCGAGGAGAGTTGCAGTAGTGACTAGAACAGATAACAATCAGTAACTAGGTCGAAAGAGGAAAATGTCGACACAGAAGAAATTCTAAATTACACGCAAAGACACCGAATCAAATGGTTTATCCCCTAATAAAGACTGCCTAGTGAGGTCATACCAAACAAAGCATACATGAAAAGAGAAGATCTCCGTGTATGTTCCGGTGCTACATTAGTGAGAACAAAAAGAGTAGCATCACTGCCCCCCCCCTACCCCCCCCCCCCTTAAACGAGGATGTTATACAATTCTGCTATTTAGGTCTGTTTCCTTTCGAAGTCAGATTGCATCTGTCTCAGAGGGAAGGAAACACCAGTCTGCATAAAAATAAGTCAGACCTGTTAACCGGATTTCCACGCCAAACCCAAACTATAGAACAAGACTAAAGTCCAGAAGTGGATGAACAACCAGAACTTTCCGCCAGAATTTACAACTGATGAACGTAAAGAAGAAAAATGAATAAGGACGTAGAGCAGGTAGACCAAGAACCAAAGGAAAAGGTGCTTCAGAGAAACTCTACAACAGGACAATGTGTGTATAGTCGAGCTGACTAGAAGAGCAAGAAGCACAACCGCATATCTTCCACCACACACGAAGCGGGGGGACAGGAATTGAAGAAGAAAAAGAAAGGGCCCTTTACCTGCCACAAGCGTAGCAGGCATTCGGACCCACATGTTTAGAGCCGAGTTGACAATGGATGGGGATGTAGTCAATACTACATCTCCCCCCATTTTAGGTTTGGTCAACAGAGAAGCCTAAGTCGGTATAGAAAGGCACTCGATGAGGATTCGAACTCAAAACCTTCGGTCCTTTATACCTGTGTCTATCCCCGTGTGGGATCTGGGGTCCCATTGTGGGGGAAAACAAGAATAGACCCACTGCCTGCCAAAAAGCATGTCGTAAGAGTCGACTAATTGGCAGCTTCCTTTGAAGTCAGAGTGCATCTGTCTGAGAGGCGAGGAACCAACAGTCTGCATTCAAGTGAATCAGATCTGTAAAACTGATGCACACGCAACACTCAGGTTCTGGAGCAGGACTGTAGTCCAGGTGTGGACGAACAACCAGAACTTTCCGCCAGAGTGTACAGCTGGTGAACGCGAAGAAGAAGAAGACACGTGTCTAAACACTGTCACATTGTTGCTTACATGGATTTTTCATAAATGTATGATGACTGGCGCTCTGTAATCTGCATGTTCTTCAATGATGTAATATTACTACATTCTCGAGTGTTTATTATAACTGAAATTCGACGTTTGGCATTTTTACTGGAAGAAGACATATGACTGGTATAAATCTGTCCTGTCTTGTTGTCAACGCCATTGTTATCCAACCTTCTTACAGTTGGCGGTACATTTGCGGAACAGGCCAAAGAAATAAGAGACAAACTTCATTGACAACAAAGCAATTTCCTCTAAAGGTGTGTACACATGAACAAACACATTAGGGAAAAAAAAGACATTACAGAATCAAATGTCAAAACTTACTCAACACAATTATTCCCATAATGATGAGAAAAAATTGATCGAGTGATTTCTCCAACTCGTTCTTGGCATTCGTGTTGTTGTCTGTAGCTGTGAAATGCTTTGTGATGTTTTCTGCCATGGCTTGTGGCCAGTACAGGACCTCTTGGGTGAAAAACAACACTAATTATTAGGACAACTAGACAGCCAGCCAGAAAAAAAAAAAAAAAGACAGCACAGTTGAATAGGATTTCAGAACAAAAATGCTTAATTTTTTGGTAATAGACTGATAAAAATCCGTTTTTAAGAAAATGTTGAATGTTGAATTAGGAATCGACATCATAGCACTCGGCACATTCCCAAAAGCGCCCCCTCCCCATCTTTAGCAGCAAGTAAAAAGTTCCAATTCTTATAGTACAGGTAACAGTCTGATTGTTCATCCGTCTCGCCTTTCCTCTAAGTGTTGCGCTGTTAACTCCCCCGCAAAACCACTTTCCTTAGACCGTAATGATCTATTTGTACCTCACTATTCACTGGCTGTTTAATAAAAAGGACAAGGAGATTTAAGACATGTTTTTTTTTTTTTTTTTTTTTGCTACTGATTGCATGACATATTTCGCCGTGTCTCTTGAGGTATAAAACGTGTAACAAGAGATAATCAGCTGTCAGTAGTGTGACCTTTGCAGAACCTTGCTCCAACAACAATCCTCCGGAAAACTTTTCGATCACAAGCTAGAGGTTCCGCGTCCGATACACCCATCTGGAGATCATCCGCCACAGCCTGCACCCATTGTCTCTTTGGCCTTTCTCCTCCTCTCTTTCCAGGCATTATAGTTATCTCTAAACTTTCGTGACGTTTTAAGTGACCAAAATATCTTTAATTTTCTGTGTTTTATGGTCTTTAACAGCCAACCTTCTTCATTATTCAGTTCCTTAAGTGTGAATGCATTTGTTCTTTTCTTTACCCATGATATTCTTAGAACCCGTCTATAACATTTGTATTCAAAGGCATTTACGCGCTGTTCAGCTTGTTCAGTAAGTGTCCAGGTCTCACAAGCATATGTTGCAAAGGGAAATATGCATGCTCTAAGAAATCTGATTAACAAGAGACAGCGCGAGTTTAATTCCTGTAGTGTTTTCTCTTCCTGACTACTACTTGAATATGTTCACCCTGAGATTACAAAAGCGCATGCTGGCTGACGAGGCAACAGGACAAAAACCCCAGATACCCAGTTCAATGTCTAGAGAAGTTTTTAATTGAGGCACTGGTAATACCTACATCAGCCCAGTTCGTTAGATCGATCAGTTTGTGCCTTGGGGCTGCTACCTAACAGTAAAATAAAAAGAGGTTAAAACACCCCATTCAAATCCCACAGAAGCTATAATTAGGGTAACTATAACATCAACACTAGGCAGGTGTAAGGTGCAGTAATGTGTTGGTAAGGACCCACCAGCGTAGCGTATTATGCAGTCCTATCTGACTGACCGACGTTCACCCTCACAAGGACATAACACCGAGCGATAAACACTCGGTGACACAAAGTAGCACCATTCGAATGAGGATCCCAGGAGACAGGTGCTAGAAACCCCGTTAAACCCATAGGTTGGGTTATAATAAGGTATCCACCAACAGCCGGGGTGGGCTTTGAAACAAAAAAATTGCGTCTGACATTGGGAGGCAGAAAGTTGAGCAGTCCAATCCATGCTTGTAAGGATAGTCCGATTGAAAGTGCTTTATGTATTTCGTTTTCTTTTTTTTAATTTTTTTTAGAGTATACATTCGTATGCTTCGTTATATGTAAAGTTAAATGTTACAGTAACGCACTTGATGAGAAAGCGAAATATGCGAGGCAAGAAATCGGACAAAGAAACTGGCAAATCAAATGTCTTCATCACATCTTTAATCACGATCTGTTCATTAACATATTCATGGTTGAATGTTGAACGTTGAATTACGAACTGACATCAAAGCACTTGGACCCTTCCATAAGCGTTCCCATCATTTTTGTCTTCTTTCGTTATTGTAAGTCACAAAGAGTTTGCAATCTGCTCCTCCGATCCTTTCTATCCGGTGCAATACTTTCGACATCCTGGGTGTGATCTAATCCTTCACCTTTAGCCCCTCTCGTAAGTATATTTTTAGGGTTGCTTTTGAACGCCATCGCTTACTCTATCTTTTTTTTTTCTTTTCCATTTATTTGCCTGCTTGGTGATTCTCTTCTAGTTTCTTTTCAGAATGAGTTCAATACAGCGCCACTTTCTTTGTCGTAAATATGTTGTTTCCAGTGACTGCCCAGAAATTTATCTGATTTCTTTCCATTTTATGTTAAACATTTTCCTCGGGCGTTGGTTTTTTAAATGTATTTAACTTTCGTTTCATATCTTTGGGGGTTTTCAAATTTGCAACTGGCATATCGTAAAACTTAAATAACAGAACTGTAAATATGTAACTTGGTCGCAAACTACAATTTAGAATTCAAAATTTTATTATGGCTTTTAAAAACGTCTGATACCTTGATAATAGTTGTCAAAATGTCTGTCTTTGTATTGCTCTGACATTAAGTAAATTGATTTGTTTCTTCAATTCGTCGACAATCTTGTTTGGCTGCTTGCCGGTTTGTACCACATTCGTTGTTTGATGACCAAAAACATCAGTGGGTTGACTACCCAAGAGGCATCATCAAAACAAGAATTGTTTGCCCCGAAACAAGTGTTTGTTCTCAGCCTTCCATCCTATTACTCAGATTTGTCTCCCTCTGATTATTTTCTATTCCCAACATTTAAGTTACGGTTGAAAGAACATTTCTTCAACGACATTGATGACATTCAAAGGGCCGTAACATCGACTTCAAGGGCCATAACAACAGAAGAACTACAGAGATCGTTCTAGTGTTTGTTAGATCGTGCCACTAGCCGAATAAGTGCACACGGAGCTTACCTTGAATAAAATACAGGTTATATCTTCAACTGTTGCTTTTTTAAAAATGGAATTAGTCTCATTACTTAATTATCGGAACTTTTATATATATATAAAAAATTAGATACGATATATGTGGAGAAACAATATTGCATATCACTTCCAGTCCTTTTTAGGATTGTTACAGTTAATGCGTTCCATCCTTTTTAGGACGAAACTTTTCGTTATTTGAAGCCCCATCCTGGCTTTTGCCACAGGCCGCAATATAGGCGGGCCATAAATATGGCCAATTGTCTGAACGCGGTTTCTGGAACCTCTCCACGGCGATCCTCATCCACATGGTGGCACTTTAGGTCATCGGGTGTTTATCGCTTGTGTGATGTCCTGGTGGGATTGAAAGTCAGTCAGTCAGGATTAAATTTCTTCCTATTTTAAGCCCTACTCTGGCTCATGCCAGGGGCCGCAATATAGCCTCGCCATAAATATGGCCTAATGGCTGAAAGCGGTTTCTGGGACCTCTCCACGGTGATCCTCCCCCACATAGTAGCACTTTTTGTCATTGGGTGTTTATCGCTTGTGTGATGTCCTGGTGGGGTAGAAAGTCAGTCAAACCTATTCCCAAATATATAAACCTCAAAGCAGAGTGTATGTGTTTATTTTTCTCTCTTAACGTTATGATGATTTGTTTATATTATCATGACTTGAGGGCGTGTCAGCACAGAAACTAATACATTCTGGTTAAGATCAATGCTTGTGGAGAGAAGTGATAGCCGACGTGATTCCCGAAAGCACAAGATGTTGACGATAATGGTGAATTACATTGACTCCTATGATTGAAAATATATAATTTTTAGTCTCATATGAAATGTCTTGACACTAGACAACAAAATATTGTATATAATAGCTCTCGAGTAACTCCTTGACATTATAGTACAGAAAGCTTTCAATGTCCAATGGAAGTGAGTTGCCTTATATTCTTTTTGCTTTTCTTCATAACAGAAATAGCTGAGTTTATCTGCAAATCAGTATGTGATTTTTCATTCACATTTGTTATAGACATAGTAGCTGGAAGCATATTGTTTAATGTATTTTTTGGGGTCACTGAATCACATTTCATTATATAGTATGTGAGACAAGGATAATAGTATTCTTTTTAAAAGTATACCATTTGGATCCGATCGTCGAAATTCTTCTTCTTCTGTTAGCGTTCTGAGCCCTTGAGGTTCACTGCTGCAGATATCACCTGCTCCACTGATCTCTCTGGTTGGCCTTCTCTTTCCAGTTAGTGACAAGTTGTTTGCAGGTCTGTCTTCACGTTATCTTGTTCTGTCTCGTGATCTACGTTCATTTCATCTCCCTTGTGTATACAGTTTTTACCTCTGTCATTTGGCATGCTCTCAATATGCCCAAGCCATTTCACTCTATTAGATCTCATGATGCCAGTGATCAATGGTGATTAAAACATATTGTGAATTTCGTTGTTGCTTCTCACTTTCAGTTCCCCGCTGTTTGTATCTTTGATGGGTCGAAAGATTCGTTGTAATACTTTCTTTTCGAAAATTTGTAATGAGGCTTCCTCTCTTTTAGTTGCCCTCGAAGTTTCGGTGTCATATAAAACGACTGGTCTTATCAACGTTTTATATATTTTGATCCTGGTGTTGCGAGACAGAGACTGACTTTCACAGATGTTGAAGGGTATATTATACTTTATTTCCAGATTATATTCTAGTCTAAATTATTTCTTCGGCCGGAGTTTATATAATTTCCCTGTCTTGTTTTTATCATGTATTATGTTTTACCTTGATTGATAACTAGTTTCATTTTGTGAGCTGCTTCTTTCAAGAGATTCAGTGTTTTTACAGTCTTCATTTTATTTTCTCCAACGACAATGATGTCATCTCCATAGCCAAGTTTTCTTGTAGATTCTCCTAGAGGACACTCTTGTTCCAATTTTCTTACAATTTTCTCCAGGGCCAAGTTGAAAAGAAGTGGGGACATAGCATCACCTTGTTTTAAACCAGATTTATTTGAAAAGGGTCTGACGTTCTGCCTTTATATGTTACTATATTATAAGTGTCTTCCATACATAGTTTGGTCATGGTAATAAACTTCTTTGGTATTCCAAAGTCATTCAGAGCATTTCATAAACTGTTTCTATATACACAGTCATACGCCTTTATATATATATATATATATATATATATATATATATATATATATATATA